TTCTCAAAGATACATTGTAATTCCTTTGGCCCATTGTGGATTTCTCACCTTTGATTAACAAATTCAAAACTAAATTTATGTGAGATATAGTATTCAGATGATCTAGTCATAACAAAAGTTTTCAGTTGTCATTTTATATCTTGTCTGCTTTTACTGTTAAACAGTTATTGTGCTTTCATTTTGCACCCAAATCTTTCTTCTAGATGTACTTAAATTTTGTTATAGAAATAAGATGAATGTTAAAACATGTCAATCCATCTGCAGTGTGTGTCGGTTGTGATGACAACCAACCAGACAGAGGCCTTGTACCCCTGGTTGTACCCCTGGTTGGGGTCCACTTTCCCCCATTGTAATGCCGTGTGTGTTCACGTTATCTCATCGATTACATTTTAATAATGGTATTTTCTGCCAATGTAAAGTCATCTTCTCTAATAGGGGAAGATGATGTTAAAAGGTCAGAATAGGAGGGAATTTTATCAAGAAGTTGTCATGGAATTAATTTTACCCATATACATTAGTATTGTGTTATTCTACATGTTACAGTTATCTTGTTTCTATTTCAGAAAACATGAAGATAATAAGCATACAAAGAGAAGCTCTGTAACACCTTGGAACCTTGGTTTCTAATGGCCTCTTTCAGAAATTGTAATAATGAAAATGCATAATAATATAGAAAAGAATAAGCAAACTAATTAAACTATCTTGTCCAGAAAAAAAAAGGGAATATTTTATGCTGTTTGTATTCTTACTATTACAGTTTAATTTAAAAATTGTAAAAGCAGGGACACTTAGAAATTAAGAAATTTATTTTCTTGATAGTGATGCTCATCACTATACACTTGACAAACAGCTAAAAGCAACTGTCATGGGCACGGTCTGTGTGAACTGGCATATACTCTTAACCACCTTGTTAAGATATCCAAAGACATAGGAAGCAATTTGTGCTGGTAGTGCGGTATGCATTTCCTTCTTTTTAATAAATGCATTTCTAAAACTGTAGCTTGCCGTTAAGTGCGCTTGCAGCTGATCACCAAACAAATGATTTGTGTGGGGGCTGATAGCCATCCCGGTCTAAAGATGTCATGCTTTTGCCTGTTAGTGCCTTCTCCAGTTAGCTGGACTATATGTCTATCATTTCTTTTATCAAATGTATTGGGTTTGCCGTCTTTTATTGATTTCTCACTTAATTACATTGTTTTTACAAGACTTTTCTGTGTCATTTGAAAACTATGAGTTCTTATGCTTAAGAATTTGAAAAGAATATATAGTGTCTGTGGTCTCTTGAAAATACATAACATTTATTTCTATCCTTTATCCTTTAAAAATACCTACTGGATCCTACTATTGGCCTATTTTCTCTTTAGCTTTTGAGACGCCGCGGCACTGCTTCCGCTCCCCACAGCTGTCCTCCTGAGTTTGGGTTGTCACCAGACCAGTGGCTTGTGGGCTTTTTGAGACAGGAGTGAGATGGCCCCTCCTTGTGATTTTGATTTGCATCTCCCAGGTGACAATGAACATGTTTTCATGTGGCTGTTGGCCATCTGTATGCCTCCTTTGAAGTGGCTACCACACTATCCTTTGATTGGGTTGTTTTGTGGGTTGTACCAGTCCTTTGCAGATCGTGGCTATCAGCCCTCTGTGGTATGTATGATGTGCAGCTCTGTTCTCCCATTCACTCGGGTGTCTTTTCACTTGATGATTTTCGTTCCCTATGCAGAAGCTTTTCTAATTTGATGTTCCATTTTTGCAGACAGATTTTGAGTCATAGTTAGAATACCTTTCTCCCAAGTATCAGAGAGATTTACCTCTTTTTTCTTTTAGTACTTGTGTATTTTCATTTTTAGATTTTACTTGGAGTTTACATTTGTATAGCTAATAGCTCAAATACCCCATTAAAATTTTTATTTACAACTTCTTCATGACAAGCTTGGAGTGAACCTTTCAAGATCCTTCTCTAGCAAGTCAAGTGTCTTTGCTATATACCTCAGAATTATGTTCAATAATAACAGTTGGAAAGACTAAAGACAAATAAATATCATGGGGATAATATTGTTACAAAGCACTGGGATAAAAATTTGTCCCTTTTAAGTCAGTACACAAAGCACTATCCAGATACGTTCTGGAAGTGTCAAAAGTCTAGAGATGATGGCCATGCACAGATGCAGTGTGAGAAATATCTAGTGACCTATCGTCTAACCAGTAATCACCAAGTGCCACAATGCATCCAGCGCCATCAGCCCCTCCATCTCTTTGACAAAAGTACCCCAAGTCAAGTATTTTACTCCTTTAATAATTTGAAATTCCATACTCAGAGTCAAGGCTTATTACAAAGTATAAATAGCAAAAGCCTCTTGAACCGACATCTTAGGGGCAGAGAAGCTGGCGATTCAATACTACACAGTATTTTCATTTTTCGTGTTTAGTTAAAACAGGAGCTGAGAGTTGGAGCCTAGGAGTGAAAGCCTCAGGCAAGAAGTGAACTTCAGTTTCTTCACCTGGGTAACTTGGGGTGTTTGAACGACCTAACTCCAGCGAACAAAATACATGCAAACTGTTCTCATTAATACCATTTCGGGAAGAAGATGATCAACCTACATTAACCCTGGACGGTAGGTGTACGCGGCCCGCAGAAGAGGAGGCCTGCCTGCTGAGCAGTCCAACAGCTGCACGGGCCCAAAGCGCGATTTACTGGCAACTGGGGGCCCAGCTGTGCCCCCGGAGGGCGCGGGGCGCGCGCTCAGGGATGGTCGCGGCCGTTGAGCCCGGCTGC